GAATGGAAGGGTGAATTTATTTGGTACAATTTATTTCACCGTGATTCATTGCCCTTTCAAGGCACAAGGCACAGCTATTGACATCGATTGGTTCTTTTTCCATCCTTATGATAACAAACATCTCTCTCGTTCTCAAAGGTCAGCGGACAGACGTCGTACGAGCAGGCTCATAGACGTATCAGGAAGAAAGGTCACAACAACAAACTCATCACCAAGATTAGATAAGATGRCATCTACTACCATAATCTTGTGGTTATTGGCTAACCTATTAGTGTTACGTATACACGTACAATAACTGCTGTGTGCATTTATAAAGCACGCTGTTATAGATGATTTTCGAGATCTGCGAGCGCTTTCATAAATATCGCAGGCGCAGAYATGAAAACGATTCATTTTCAGGCAAAAASCATCAACTATATACAATGGTTTTGACCAATTTTGCACCTTTTTCACGCCTTTTCCTAATGCAAATAGCTCATTTTTGGCCATTTTCAGGAAAAAAACATAAGCCGTACCCCAAGGTTTTCACCCATTTTAGACCATTTCCAAATATTTTTCCAGATATGTTTTCTTAATGTCGTATGGACAATTGGTGATTTTTGGGCTTTTTTAGGTAAACAGCATAGGCTATAGCTCTTGGTTTTGACCGATTCCGAATATATCAYTTTTCATGTAAGGTTAGCACGTGCCACCTACATCTGCCGGCCGGCATCTCCTGGCCCCACACGCGTCTGGTGGCCCCTTGACCATAACTCGGGAACAAAGCATGCTATGGTAACGAAACTTGGTAGCATTGGTTAGACTGCTGTTTTCAATCATCTGACCACGTGACATGACGTGCCGTCACATATCAAGTGACATGTCATTCCCTTTAGTTTCATTTCTTTGTTTTTGTGCAAATGAAACAAAGAATCCTATTCTCAAACTAATAACACGTGGTCTGAAATTTCAAAACAAATGACACAGTCCCTGACATGGGACGATAAAATAGATAAATGAATAGTCTTGAAGCGTTTTATGAATTCCAAGATATAACTAGCTAAAAACTAGTGTGAGCTGCGTCGGTGTTTCTAATGAAACAGTAATGATGAAAAGGTAAATTATACACCGTGAAAAGATGAAAATTACTCTTAACGTAATTGAAGCTTATTTCTTGGCATTAATTTACATTTACGCGGAAACGTAAACCTTGATTATGTGAGAACTGTAAGAGCCATTTACACCAGCTTTACGCAATGTTAGTAAAGTAGGCATTTATCACCAGCGTAAAGCTGCTTAAACTAATTAAATGAATTCCAAATGTGAATGTACTATCAACATCACTAAAATAGGTGCTCAGTAAACATTAGGGTGTGGCACATTTTAAAGCTAAGATTTAGACTTGTAGCYTGTTACTTCTCTCACTCGCTCTGTTGTTGAGCTCGCAGTGAATCAACTGCATCCCAAAAGCCTTTGCATGCATTCATCCCCTTCCCATATTCCATTGTGAATAGAAGGAATAAATTCAAGTGAATAGAAGGAATTTCAAGTCTGGTTTTTAGACTTCTTAGCGTGAATAAAATATTCATTAACTATAATAATATGTAATTATTCGCTTAAAGAATTCATGGTTCTTACCTCCCCTAGTTACCGTTGCTATGTCCCACGAGCTCAACAATTTAGCTAGAATATCTTAGAATTTAAAACTCTGATTGCAGAAGATTGATTGTAAATTGCTTCAATAGACTTTATTCGTGGCGTGACAATGTTATTCCAATTCATCGTGACAAACCTCCAGGGGATTTATTTTATTTTGTTTTTACTCTTCAAAAAAGTCATCAGTAACCCAAAGGATATGAAAGGAATAACGATGATATCCCGACGAGTTTCAAAACAATATCTCTTCATTCCCCCAGAGGTTTGTCACTCTGAATTGGGAAAACATTTTCACACCACGAATAAGGTCCATTGTTTACTGTCCTGTGAAACTAAAAGACAAGAATGCTTCATAATCCTTGGGACAAGATTTGAATTCCACTGCGAAAACTGCTGCAATGGTGATTGGCTCGCTATTGTCTGAGTCAGTGACTACCATCAATAGACTATTTACATCASATGTCCTCGTCAAATTACTCATTTCCTTTCACAATAATAAAACACATATCACACATTACATCAACTGATAATATTTTTAATCATCAAACTAAATATGGGTTATTTACAAACCAATTACTTTTCCCTTTGCTAATAAATATTTACAACAAGATTGGCATTACTACATCAAGTCTACAATATTACTTCGTCTAGTATACAATAGCTTAGCCTGGGTAGCAGCACTTTAAATAAAAGAGCCGGTCACGCTATGAAGGAGAGACAAAGCTGAATAGGTATGACTTACCCTAATATCACAATATTAGCACTAACACTAATATCACAGTATCTCATTGTACATAATGGTACAATCTAAACTAGGTCTATTTACATATCC